ATTATTGAGGCTTCGTTTGGTTTGCAGTTTGAAATTCAGGCAATTTTAATGTTTATTTGTTTAAATTGTAAATTTAAGAGTTATCAAATTGCAATATGAATTGGTATTTGGTATGGGAATAAAATATGAGCATACGTTTTTATACTTTGAAAACAATTTTTTGAACTAAATAAAAAAAAAAAAGGGTAGTTGGCACTATTTGTTCTAGAACTTTGAGTATAATGATATTTTAGTTTCTAACCTTTTAATTTGGGCATATTAGTTTTTAAACTTTTAATTTTTGACAGTTTTATTTCTTGAAATTAAAATTGAAGAATAATTTCTGAAATTTAACGTTGATAATCACATCCTTATTACATAATAACTTAAAATTTGTACATAAATAGTTACGGTTTGTGCAAAATGTTAAGTTTTTCGAAAGGTTTTAATAGTATCAAAAAGAGAAATGCATATATAACATAAATTTTCGTAAAATTTTAAGTGATAATGCGATGAGCACATAATTATCTTTGTTGAATTTTAGTAATCGTACAATTTTAATGTCAAAGATCCAAACTGTCAAAAAATGAAAGTTTGGGGATAAATATGCAAAAATTAAAAGTTTAGGGATCAAAATATCACTATTCTAAACGTTCAGGGACTAAGAGTATTAATTACTCAAGAAATAAATACAAAAAAGAAAAAAAAAAGGAGTAGTGTAGGTGAGACTTATTAATTTATTTTTAAATTGCATATAGATTCAAATTGGCAAATTTAATGGGATTTAAATCGGTGACGAAGTCAGAAATTTTTGTCAGGAAGGTTAATCGAGCCAAAAAAGATTTTCTGTGAGGCTATTATGAAAATAAAAATAGGGATCATTTTTTCCTGGATAGAGATATAGAATATGCTATAATTATTCAGTCAAGAGTACAATTATAATTTTTGTTACATAGTGGGAGTGCGCGCCTCAAAATTTCTTAAGAACTTTTTGCAAAATTTTGATTATATAACGATAAGTACTTTTGAATTTTTGAGGCAACAAAAGAAAGTTTTTAACCTTTATGGAAGAGGCTATCTAATATTTGGCATAAATGAACATATAAAATTGGAAATAGGCCATGCAGTGGCCTTCGTCCCTGATTAAAATCCTTAAAATCATGAGTTTGAACTTGATTTTAAAATCCGAACCTCACTCATATTTTCTCTCAATAATTTAAATCGATTATCAATTCAAATTGTACCAAATAAGTCAAAACCCATGTACTGTACTGAACATTAACAAAGCGTATATAGCTGGCGGATTTTTTTTTTCTTTTTGGCGATGTTTGGTAGCTTGTATTGTATTATATAGTATAAGGTGTATTGTATTGTATTGTATTATTATAATAAAATACGGTATTTGGTATCGTGACATATTGTATAAGAGATTAAAATGTAAAATTTTAATACTTAAGGGGTCAAATGTAATTTTTGAAAAATTTTAGGGTCAAAATATAATTTTTCAAAAGTTTCAAAATCAAAATGATTTTTTTAAAAAAATAGGGGTCAAAGTATAATTTTACAAAAGTTTTGGGGGTCAAAATGTGATTTTATAAAAATTTTGGGATCAAATTGTAATTTTAAAAAATAAAAAATTTGCACTGTGCTGCCTAAATTTTTCAACAATTATATGCTCCGGCATGATCCTATGTTGACCCGACCTCAATCTCTTGTCTTGTCCAACCCCGACATAAATTATTGATTCACTATAAAATAATACAATACAATATGCTAAAAATGAGTCATATTTAATAATACGACGTAGACCGTATTAATTTACTATTCATATTAATTTATACAATACGATAGTCACACCAAACATTATATTATTGTATTATTATATAATACGGTACTCTAATACGGTCAAACAAACATGCATTTTAAGTTATAAAATTTTGTAGTATGAATTATGAATTCAATTCATTTTTATGACTTCTTGGTCTACCTCTTTCACCCAAGTTTTCTGCAATTTATGCCACCAAAAGGGAAAAAAAATCAAAGAAAAAGAAATCGCTTAAACCATTTCCTATGTATACCTTTGCATGGCAATTGTGTAAATCAGTGCCGATGGATAAAAAAAAAAAGCGCCGCATTTAATAATACGACATAAACTATATTAATTTATCATTCGCATTAGTTTATATAATACGATAGTCACATCAAACATTATATTATTGTATTATTATACAATACAGTATTTTAATATAGTCAAATAAATATGTATTTTAAGTTATAGAATTTCTTAGTATGAATTATGAATTCAGTTCATTTTTACGACTTCTTGGTCTACCTCTTTCACCCAAGTTTTCTGCAATTTATTCCACCAAAAGGGAAAAAAATCAAAGAAAAATAAATCGCTTAAACCATTTCCTATGTATACCTCTGCATGGCAATTGTATAAATCAGTGCCGATGGACCAAATTTTCAACATCTAACGGAAACTTTCTAATTTCTTCTAAACCACTTCATTTCGTTTCTTACAATTTTCTTAGCAGAGAAACAAAAGGGATCTACAAAGTCTTATAATATGAAGTAATGTCTGATCATGTTGTTTAATCACAAATGTTTTGATCACCAACCTGAGATTCTGAAGAACATGATAAGAACTTGTTACCAATAGATTGGAGAATCCCAAAGTGATCAATTTAAAAATTAAGAACACAAGGAATACTCCAAACTTTTTATTTTGTATGTGTTTCATAATATCTTATACCTACCATCCATAGCTCATAAATTTCGTGTAGGTATAACAAGATGATAAATTACACTATTTAATTCCAGAATTTAAAATATCCCATACTTAACAGTCATTTTCCTGTTAGTCCAAGGTTTATTTTAGCATTTAAATTTTCGACCACGACATAGCTCCCTCCAATTTCCAGAAACCATAATAGCACCTTTTCCCACTCGTGGCCTTAAGCAGCGATTTCTTTAGTAATGTTAGCTAATTTCTAAAAATAAGTTCATCTTACTAGTCTCATTCTCGTATTAAAGAGAAAAAAAGAAAAAGTTATTGAAAAAAATAACTTTTTTTCCTTAAATTAGCCCCATAAAAAACTACATTTGCATACATCTCATTAATATACGAAGATTTGTACGTGAAAAACTACCAGATTTTTTGGGTTGGGGTATGAACATACACCCTACTAATAGCAAATGTTTTTAACTGCTACATCCATATATATATATATATTGCATTTTTTTTTCTTCCAATGTGATTTTAATTAAATTTAACATTCAGAAATATTCATTACAGTAGTGAAAAACTCCAAACTATTATTAGAATTATAATTTTAGGATACATTTAATTTTTTAAAATGTACCATGTAACTCAATATAAACTATGACCATATAATTGTTTTTTAACTAAATGATGACAACCTTTTTCTTTCAACCATCATGACCTTTTTTTCTTTGAACAACGTAAATCGTTTCTTTTTATATTTTAACTATAGAACTTGAAAAAGTGAACCGGCAAACTTGTTCAACAGTTAAATTTATATCAAAAAGTTTTTGTTATGTATACTTTTTTATATTTTGATGTAATTTTTAGCAAATATAACAATTAAAAATGTGCATTCTCCTACTGCAAATAAATAATATTATATAATACCGACAGCGATGAACATCACTCATAATAAAAGGTAGATCTATCATAGAACTCATCTTATATTAATGGTGGTACTTGAAACTCATGGTTTCACAGATTTTTTTTTTTCTGCAAAAGATCTTTCATTTTATCACTTAAAATTAAATACTGAGATTTTAGCTGCTTTTTTCACGATAAATTTTGCGGATTTTCAGAAACGGGGAATGGAAACAAATTTTTGAAAAAATAAAAAATAAATAAATAAGGACAAGCTTAAACCCACGGAGAAATTCTGTACCTTCTTAAGAATGCACTGAAAGAGAGGCAGGAAAGAAATGGAAAAGATTGGTACGGTAGAATAGAAATCTGGTGCACCCAAATCAGTAACCTAAAACCCAGCCCAAAAAAATATTAGGAGAAAGAAAGAAATGGGTCAAGAGTTGAGATGAATTAAAATTAATAGGTTAATAGTTTACATAAGTTAATAAATAGGTTAAATTACTGTTTTCGTCCATAACTTGTTTGGTTATGAACCATAACTTGACAAGTTATTATCCATAATTATTCATAACTTGTCTGGCTATGAACCATAGCTTGATAAGTTTGTCCATAACTTATCTGATTATGAACCATAACTTGACAAGTTATGACCTATTAATTTCTATAACTAAAAATTGGCCTATATACTTTCTTAAGCTTTTCATATTGACCTATTTTTTACTATTTCTCAAAAATATTTTGTAACACAAATTGAGCCCGTTTAATTCATTGATTTGAGTTTATAATTTAAATTGAGATATGATTTTATATAAAAACTTTTTATTATAATAAAAAAGTTAAATATGACTATTTATGAGAATTTTTTACTGTAATAAAATTTAAATTTTAAACTTAAATTAATAAAGTGAACGAGACTTAAAAGAAAAAAACAATCGGTAACCTAAAAACAATCGGAAAATTTTCCTCTAATCGCCGATTAATGGCACCGACCACGCCGTAGTGCGGCCATGATACGCTGACGCTAGCGAAATCTTTTCCTAAAGCTTAAAACGAAGCCCAGCCGAATAAGCCGAGCCTAAAATCCATTTCTGTGTTTATTTTTTATTTCTTTTTCTTTTTTTTTTTCACTCTTTCACAAACAACGTTTAAATTCTTAAAGCCCAAGACTAAAAAGTCTCCCAAATAAAACGGTCGAAAACGGGAAAGCCAACCGGGAATAGCCGGTGAAAGGAGAAATTTATTTGCATTTGGATTGAATTTTGGGTTCATTTCATTTTGCAAAAACTCTTCAAATTGCACCTAACCCAAGTCAGATTTTAACCCCATATCTGACCCAAGTTGGTTTTATTTAAAGAGAGAGAAAGTAAGGCCAGCTGGGTTGTGAACTGGTTCACTGACCTTCCCGTTCTCCAAACCCAGACTCTCTCTCTCTCTCTCTCTCTCTCTTCAATCTCAAAATCATCTCTTTGGTTTTCCATATTGTGGATGAACAGTCATAGACCATACTGTCTTTCACACCTAGCTCAGCTAGAATTGATTGAGTAATGATGTAGAGAGAGAAAGAGTAGTGTACTAGTGGTGAGAGAGATCTTGAATATTGATTCCTTACTTCTCTGTTCTTTTCTCTTTGTGAGTTTGTGTTCATATATATATATATTTTTTCTTCTTCTTTGCTTTGTGGGATTTGGTTTGTGAGTTGGGATTTTTCTGTTTTGGCTTTTTGATGGGTACAGAGGGAGAAGAAGTTATCATCATATCCAAAAAAGAGAGAGACTGGGTAATGGGGAGAGGCAATACGTTGTCGTACAGTGTTATTATACTACAATACTACTGTACAAGTTGGTCTAGTTTCAGACATGAGACAGCTTGTTCTTCTTCGTCATCCACTCTTTGCTTAAAGTAAAAAAAAAAAAAAAAAAAAAAAAAAAAAAATCCGGGTCCTAACAATTCAACTTGATTGAGCTCTTAAAAAAAAAAAAAGAAAGACCCAAAAGTTATACAAGAATCTTTCTTAAATTAAAGAGCTTTTGATCCAACAATAATTAGATCTTCTACAAGTCATGAAGAGACTCAGCAGCTCCGATTCACTGGGTGCCCTAATGTCCGTCTGCCCAACTACAGGTTCTTAACAACAACAAAAAAAACCCCCCACATCGTAATTCTTTAGATTTACACATTCCCATGTCATTATTTTGTTTTGGTTTAATATTCTAACTTGTCTCTCTTATTATAATTATATGTTTTAGAGGAACAAAGTCCGAGGAACAACCATGTCTACGGCCGAGATTTCCGGTCGATGTTGGACGGGTTGGACGAAGAAGGATGTGTGGAGGAAGCGGGCCATGTGTCGGAGAAAAAGAGGAGGCTAAGCGTAGAACAAGTTAAGGCGTTGGAGAAGAATTTCGAAGTTGAGAACAAGCTGGAGCCAGAGAGAAAAGTGAAGCTTGCCCAAGAACTCGGGCTTCAACCAAGACAAGTGGCTGTTTGGTTCCAAAACCGGCGAGCTCGTTGGAAAACCAAACAATTGGAAAGAGACTACGGCCTCCTCAAAGCCAATTATGATGATCTTAAGCTCAACTTCGATGTCCTGCAACGTGACAATGATTCTCTCCTCAAAGAGGTAACCAATCGATAGTCGCGACAGTTAACTGATAATTCCATATGGTATCAGAGGATAGTTTACGAGCGTGGTTTACTCGAGAATCTAACTTTTCTTCTTCTCTTTTTTTTTTTTTTTTTGTCTTTTTATGTTTTTATTTTTATAGATAAGAGAATTGAAATCCAAACTTCAAGAGGAGAATTGCACGGAGAGCAATCTTTCGGTGAAGGAGGAACTGATCGCGCCAACAGATTCAGATCAGAAACAAGCAGTCATGAATTCTGATAACACATGTCTTAATCCTCAATCCGGTCATCATGATCATCATCATGAATCCAAGGAGCTGAATTTCGATCACCAAGAGAGCTTCAACAACAATAACAACAACATCAACAACAACAACAACAACAACAACAACATGTTTGAGGTGTCGAACGTGTTCCCACTGGATTTCAAAGACGGGTCGTCGGACAGCGACTCTAGCGCGATCTTGAACGAAGAGATTACAAACACAAAGAATGGAGGGATTTCTCCTCTGCAGACCCACCAACTGATGAACATGTCGTCTTCGTCATCGCCCTCGCCATCGTCCATGAACTGCTTGGGCAGCAGTTTCCAGAAAACGACGACGTACCAGCCCCAGTTCGTGAAGATCGAGGAGCACAACTTCTTCAGCGGAGAAGAGGCCTGCAACTTCTTCTCCGACGAGCAAGCTCCGACTCTTCACTGGTACTGCTCCGGCGAGGATCAGTGGAACTGAAAACCCAAAAAAAAAAAAAAAGAAAGAAAACCAAGTTCATTTCTCTGAATAAGGAAACAAGAGTGAAATGAAATCCCACGTGAACTTTTTTTTTTTTTTTTTGTAAAAAAAGGAAAGAAGAAAAAAAAAAGTTTTTAAGGAGTGGGATTTTGGTTGTAAATTTGGTTTTCTCATGAATCTCTGTTTCTCTCTATTTTGGAAAGTGCAAGTTCTGAGAGAGAGGAGAGAGTTGGCCAATGGAAGGTGTTAGTACGAGAAGTGAAGACGTGGGAGCAGTGAGAGTTGCAGAAGAGAGAGAACGAGATCAGGAGAGAGAAAGGGGTTCACGTGGGGGTTCGGTGGAAGGTGACGAACGAATTACAGAAGGGCTTTTTTCTTTTTTCAATCACCTAGCTAGCCGTGCGGGGAATATGATGATCCTTAGGTCGTAATTAAAGTTTTATGATCTGTAAAAAAAAAAAAATGAAAATGAAAAAAATGGGGATCCATAGGGTGATGAGTAGAATTAAATCCTGTAATGGAGGAAATAATCATCATTGCCTCGCTTTCTCTATTAGCTTTCATCCATTGGTTTGATTCTATATTGCTTTTTTGGTATTTTGATCACTTGCACCACAATTAGAAAATGTTATGGACTAGCCGGTAGCCACTATTTCTAAACCGTAGGATTCTAATTTTTCTTTTTTTCAAAAAATAAAAGAAAAAAGAAAAGGCAGAATTTTACATTAATTCTGAATCGTCAAATTTTCTATTTAATAATATTATTTTGATCACTTGCACCAAAATTAGAAAATGTTATGGACTAGCCACTATTTCTAAACCGTAGGATTCTAATTTTCCATTTTGTCAAAAAAAAAAAAAAGAGAGAAGGCAGAATTTTACATTAGTTCTGAATCGTCAAATTTTCTATTTAATTATATTTGGATGATATTTAGAAGAAACCCCATTAGTGCAAATAAGGTAAATTAATAAGCAATACTTTATAACTTTGATCTTTTTTTTTTCTTTATGTAGAATGTTTGTACTCATAAATGTTTTCTCAACCTTTAAAATTTAAGAAAATTATAGAATTTATCTTTAAGAGTATATGAGTCTAAATTTTTACTAATTACTCTTAATAAATATTCTTTATTAGTGTAATTATTTAACAAAAAATAATATAAATTAAGAGTAAAAAATAAAAATTCTGATTCATGTACTTTTAAAAGCTATTTATCAAAATTATTCTTTAAATTTTGGAACTTAGAGCTGAGTTTTTGGCCTTTTTTTGTCAGAGTTGAGAAGGCTTTCACATAGGGAATCTAAATGGTTTCCCTTTCACTTATTTTTTTTTTGTTGTTGAAGTTTTTACTTAAACTTATGACAGGTAATATGGGTCACGATACGACAACACGACACAAATTTTGCAGGTTAAGGTTGAGAAAAAAAAGGTTCGGGTCAGAATTTGGTCGACTTGAAATTGACACGAAAAAACACTAGTCAATTTTGGGTTGGACCCGCCTAACCCGAACAAGATACGAAACTCGTAAAAAACTAAAAAATACATATATTTTTCATTACATATTTTTAATTTTATTATGAACTTGTGATATCATGATAGTTATACTAAAAATCTTATATTATTATTTGTTTAACTTCAATGGATGTTATTGTATTTTAGTGTGTTATGAATTTTAAGTTATTTCTAATATGTAAAAAACTAAATAAAAGTATATAATTTTCGTGTCAATTTCATGTCACGAGTCATTTTCGTGTCGTGTCGTGTCAACCCGTAAAGTGGTCGTGTCGTGTTCGTGTTGCAGTTTTTAAAAAATTTCATGTCACGGGTCGTGTTCGGGTTGACTATAAATTTAGAAAAAAAATGATCAAAACACAGTACGAATACGATGCGTGATACGAATTGCTAGCCCTACTTAAATTTCCTCTGAAATAAAAAATCTATAATGGGTAAAATCTGCTGGCTATGAATTAGAACCTGCTAAAGCCATTGGGCATATGGCAATATATGTGTAATATCTGGGTTTCTAAACTCCTGAATTTTGGTAGTTCAACGTTTGTGATCAGATGGAAATATGAGCGAATTATTTGGTGTTTTTATTAGCATCTAAGTTTAAATCTTGCTTTCGTTGAGAATGAGGATAGTAGCCTAGGCTTTTGTTTCCACGTGAAAACCTGTCCTCAAACAAATGAAAAACAAACCTTTTATGACTAATATATATAGATAAATTTTTAATGGTGACATTCGTAGTTACCATTAAATATAAAAATTTGATAACGTGACTGATAAGAATTCAATATCATTAATTATTATAAAATATTTTTGTCAACTATTTAATTTATTACAACCATCAGATAATATCTTATGATTAAAATAATAATACACATTGATGAGTAAATATTAAAGCAACCATTAAAACTACACCGTGCCAATAAACTCTGAGTTGGCGCAAACTTACAGCTCTAATTATCATTTTTTTTTATCAAAACTTGTTGTTCAAGATTATTAACCAAATGGGTAATCGATTTGTGATAGGTCAAAACTATCCTATTGATGAAACTCATTTGTAAATTGTTATAATTTTTTTCTTTGAGAAAAGTACATGGTTTGTTATAGTTTTGTACATATTTATTATGAGACTTTCTTTTGTAGATCTCCCTATGGGTAGTACTCATTTATGACCGTTAGATCTAGTTAAAGTCACATTATATCAAAAAAGTATGCATAACATACAGTTTCAGATATAAATCTGACGGCTGAAAAGTAAAAAACTATTGGTAATTCATTTTTTTTTATCGTAAATTTTTTTTTTGAAATAATTGAGTGCCATCATGATCTTTTATTTTCTCTTTCTAAATTGAATGACAAATGTCTATTTTTAAGTGAAGTAGTATAAATAATATTTTTTACCACTTTAAATGCCATTTCTGGTTTTTTGCCCTTTTCCTTAAGTTTTATGAAGTTACTATACTATTGTAATTACATATGCTTTCGAGATGATAATAGAATTTAGAACTATATGTATACCATTGAGATAATATTTTGTCATTATTTATCATATAATTCTCTCTGGTTACTCTTAACAAAAGATATGGGTACTTACTCTTTTAATGTCATGAATTTTAGGTTGATTACAATGTATACGGTGTATATTCTGTATAGACAAAGAGGGTGAGAAATTATTTTCATTGCCCTTGATAAATGTTCACGTAAGCATCATGTGATTGGAATCGTAAAATAAAATAAAATAAAATTCAATTGAACCTTAATTGAAAAAAATTTTAAGTTAAAGGGATCAATTGCCAAGAAAAAAAAAGAACAAGAATTAAATTACTAAATTTAAAAAAAAAATGAGGAGTTATTTGTAAAAAAAAAAAAAAAAAAAAAAAAAAAAAAAAAAACCTTTTTTTTAATGTCCTTAAGATTACACCTTCAAAAAATTTTAAATTAATGTAAATTTTATATATTTTAAGATGAGCCTAAAAAAAATTTAGCTTACAAATAAACGTTATAACCAACAGTAATTAGGTGCCGTGTAAAAACGACGAATAAAAAAGGTAAATTTATCAACTGCAAAGTGAAAATTAAGTGTTGACCTAAGAGGTACAAAATTTAAAATCGAAAGCCACATTCTTAAGCACAATCCAAATTATAAGTTTTGTTTTTTTTCCTTTTTATAAACTTATTAAATTACATTGTATAAAATAATGAATATTCTAAAAGATATCATAAAAATCAAGACGAAAATAATAAAGACAAGTGTCCTGGAGTCCAATTGAGCAATAACCCATGTTTAGATTTAGTAAAAAACATCTAGCGGAACCTTTTTTTTTTTTTTTTTTAATTTCAGCTTGTTATAGAAATCGACGTTGATCGTCTCTGCTAGAGTTATAAGTTTATCGTATATTGTTTTTTTTTTTTTTAATATTAGCATAATATCCTAATGTTTTTTTAATGGCTTGGAGACCAACACAAACGAAAAGTTGTATTACTACTTGATTACTACGTTTAGCACATGTTTAACGTTAAAATTAATTTGTGAAGAAGATTAAACCTATGATCTGAATTTCAAAAAAAAAAAAAAAAAACCCTATGATCTGATGATTATGGATAGCTAACATCACGAGTATCATATTTAACACTTTTTTAACGCTAAATCCAAGCTATATTTGCCTATTAAATGAAATGTTAACGAATAGTGCTATATATCCTTATCAAGACTTCTATCAAAGTTTATTTTCTCGCAGAATCTCACCCGCACATCAGCAGATCATCACACACACACACACACACACACACACACGTACATATATATATATATATATATATATATATATATATATATATATTATCACGATAAATATGACTGACACGTACTTGGCTAATAAATTCTAAACTTAATTAATATTCCCTCACAACGAATTAAGGACTACTAATAAATAATCTCCCTTGTAGAAAAATAAGCACAGCTTACCATGAAAAACAAAAACAAAAACCTTAATAATATTTTCATTCGAGTCTATTCTCTTGATAAATTTGTGCAAGTTCATGGCTAAGCGACTTTAGTGGATGAAGATTTTCTGAAGATCATAGCATTGAACTGGATAATGTTTCAGAAACTAACAATCGCATACTTGTTGAGAAAAATAGGCCGAAATTGCTATTTTGAGTTCTTAAAAAACTGTGACAGGTCTTGATATTTTGAGGAAAAAATTAACAATAATCTTAAAAAACAAAAGTCATCCTACGAGATTATAGTTCGAGGTGGGAAGGGTTTTAAAATTGAGAATAACGTTTGGTTTATGGATTAGAATTATTTTTTATTTATGTGTATTTTTTATGAGAGAAAACACTGTAGCGAACCATAAACTATGATTCGAATCAGGGTACGAATCCCCTTACCAAACGTTTCTCATGGGTTTTTTTTTTTTCTCATGGGTTTCTTTTTTGATGTTTTATGTTTTTTTTTTTCCAGTGGTTTGTTTTTCTAAAGCTTTTTATGTTTTAGTAAGATTATTTTTTAATAAATTTTTTCTTATTCCAAAAAAAAAAAAGTCTTAAGTGACTTTGAAAATCTGGATTTTTTTTCTTTAATTAAAGCATAGTTGAAATTCCACTACTAACTTTATCCACAAAAATATCTCTTGCTTGATTTATTGTGTCTGTGGCAATTGAAAGCCGAAAGTAGCATGTCCAATTATTGATATAATATGCTCATGATCAGATGATACTAAATTTTTAAGAAGCATTCAGCAAAAATAAAAGCTAAAAAATCCTCATTTTTCAGGATCCATTTACTTCTTTGTTGCTCAAAAATAAAAAATAAAAAAATCCTTTCTTTGACCATAATCATGTTATAAAGTTCTATTTTTTATAATATCGAAGTGGCGTTAACCTTACTAGGAAAAGAAACGGTAACTGTACAGTTTTTATTTTACTAAATATATCTTTATTACCACATCATGAACTGCTACAATATTGCATAATTATCTGTTATCATTTTTGTACACGCAATGTCCTACGTAATTTACAGAGCTTTCTTAACAATGTCAAATAACAAAAGAAAAAAATAATCAATATTTT